TCCTTAAAAAAAAAAAAAAACCATGGAGTCCAAAGTTCAACAATCTCAATTTCATTGTCCTCTTCCTTGAGATCCCAATCCATATATGAACCTTGAAAAGATCTTGAGTTCCTAGGATTCTCCATCAACCTCGTCACTAACAATAATCATTAATTGTTCTTCCTCGTAAGCAATTGACAAAACTTCTTAAGTTCATTTCACAACTTTTTATTAATTGCTTTTGATCAAGAACAACATTAATTAAAATCCCTTACACAGATGGGGGACTAATTTGTAGTTTCTCCAAGAACTAATATATAACCACCATTGTTGTACAAAACATGGTCTAACCAAAGCCATACAAATAACTTTGTAAGTTCATACAAAGGCAAACACAAAGTGCCATCCCAAGTTTTTTAGTTATAATATTTGATTAGGATAACTTTTTTTATAAAAAAATTATTAAATTATTAAATTAATTATTTGGTATATCAATTTAGTCTAATTTAGACTAGATTTGACTAGATTAACTATTTTATTAAAAGACTGATTAAATTAACCGAGTTTTATTAGATAAATATATTTTCCAACTTAATTTTAGATTAATTAGATATTTAACATAAGTTTTTTACATCAACAACTAACCAACATGATTGAATTTAACAATTATTGTTTTAATATATTATACAGATTTTGATTTCATTAATATAGTATTCAATTTCTTATTTATTTTTTCTAATTTACAGTTCAAATGAAGCATCCTATCAACAAAAACCCATCATTTGTGTTGATATTTACCAAAAAAAAAAAAGAAGAAGTCAAGCTAAGAAAAGAACATCCTTTCTGCCGTATCCATAGTTTTCTCCCACTTTTGGCTCGGACAGCCTTTTGCTTCGCTGGACCGTATCTACCGTTGTTAGTTACCATCTCCAAGTTCCCACTACATTCCACGTGAATCTCCTGTTCTCTTTCATCCAATAACTTCTCCGCCACGCCATCAAAATCCTATTCACGTCACACGTGTCCATCTTCTATTTGCTAACTAACTAGTAAACAAGCATCGGCAGTACACTAAACGCGTATTGTGCAAAACCCCCCGAGCAGAACTCCTCCCCTGCTTGTCTTTATAAAATCCTGTTTCTTATTTGCACGTTGTTCTGTTTTCTTGAAATTTAAGAAATTAAGCTGAAGATGTCAAATTCAAAGGATACACCACCGAAGAAGGACGTAGAATCGCCGGCGACTGAAAATAAAACACCTGCGGCGGAGACAGGAACTGGGTTTGGTGTTGCGCCGATTACAAGGAGATGGAGAAGAGAGGACATGTTAAAGAGAGGGTCATTAGCATTGAGAGGATTGGCTTTCTTATTTTCTTTGCTTGCTTTTATCATCATGGCCAGTAACAAACATGGAGATTGGAAAGATTTTGATAAATATGAAGAGTACAGGTAATTAACAATGGAACTGGAATTGGGGTTTTAATTTGGGAGTCATTTAATATTTTTTATTGATTTTATTGTGATAATTATAGGTATTTGTTGGCAATAGCAATACTTTCGACTTTTTATACGGCCGGGCAAGTGTTAAGACATGTTCAAGAGCTTTCGACTGGGAAACAAATGTTAGAAAAGAGGACTTCTGCCATGGTTGATTTCTTTGGGGATCAGGTTTGACTCTCTAATTCCTTTTTGTTGTAATACATTTCTGTGATTTGTTTAGTTTCTAAGAAATGGTTACGTATTGGAATTTGATCTTTGATTTGGACTTTGATGGGTTTAATTTGATTGATAGTTAAGATTTGTTGAATTTTGTGAAGTAGGGGCTGATATATCCCAAGTTCCATTCTGCCAGTCTTCTTGACAGCCAATGAATCTGTATCTAGGCCTTGTGAACGGGGGTGTTTTGCATGTATTCATAAATATTCAATTATTAAGAATACATTTTTTTTCTTTGAAGCTGACAACAATGTTTAACCAAACTCGAGGAAATTAGAGGAAATTTGTCATTAACTACTATCTTCTAACGAGCTCTGCAGTCAAACCAAGGAAGGATTTTCTATATGTTGTCGACGTTTAGTTTATCGCAGTTGTCTCATTACCTAGATTTTTCTACATCTAGAACATTATTTGTAATGTATGGATTAATTTGTTTCTTATATCCAACTTTGAAATTATAGATGCATTTGCAAGTCCTCAACTCTTTCTGCAGCAAGTGGTAACACTTGATGGACGGGGATGATTTTGTTGAGAGGAAAAATAGTCACTTTTCATTGATTTTCATTACACTATCAAATTATTTGATTATGATTTTGCAGAAGTTTCCAATCTGAATTGTATCAAACTCTCCAGTTATTTTTCTGTTATATATTGATCCCTGCCTTTTTTTAAGCCTTTTCCTTCAAAGATATTCAATGGTGTGCGCATGGATGGTGGGACCAACATTCGACCCAGTAAGATCTAATTATTGGTTGTGTAGAGGAGGCTCAATTTCAACTAACAAGGGGAGAAACTTCTCAATCTTTTGTATCCTGAACTAGAAACTGCAACTCCATGTAGTTTAACCTACTTTGTACCCTGCCAATTAAGCTAGGTGATAAAACATCACTCTAATGCCACCAATAAGGAGAACTTGATTCCTTTGACCCAACAAGTTGGTGAATCTGAGAGCATAACCTAGCTAAGTAGGTTTGGTGTAGACCTTTTCTGTTGGCAACTGGCTTTGATTTGTTGGTGCATTGTATGTGAAGGTTTTAGATTGTTACAACTTTCCTTTCCTTGTTCCTGAATTTGCAGATTGTGGCCTACCTGTTGGTATCTTCAGCTTCTTCAGCAGTTCCCTTGACAAACAGAATGAGAGAAGGAGCAGATAACATATTTACTGATTCCTCAGCAGCAGCCATTAGTATGGGGTTCTTCGCGTTCATATCATTGGCATTATCAGCTCTTATTTCAGGATATAAACTATCAACTCAATCTTACATTTAAATTTCTGTCTTTCGGTGAGTCTAATTAGTTGCTGTCTTGTAACCAACCGGGACATTAAAATGGTTGGTTAGGATATGGACCTACACGACAATTGGGGTGGCTCT